AAACGACGTTTACTTACCAGCGATGATCAATAGATTACTCTCCGCCCAGAGTTGTTGCTGAGATAACGCTTGTCCAGTATCGGGGTCCCGGGCAGATAAGAGTTTGGAAAAGAGATCGGTATTCTCTTCCAAGTTATCAACATTCGTCTTATCATGCATTCTTATCTGTCGCGCCTCAAAAATCTCCCTACTTTTCTTAGAGAAAGCTAGCGCTTTTCGGCGCGCTTGAGGAAAAAGGATGTGATGAAGGCCCATACTCTCCAACTCCGGTAATTGCATGAGGAAACTCACACGTCTCATCTGGCCCGACACTCCATCGACAATCCAATGGTTTTCTGAAGACGTCAAAAGATCATATGAGGTTCCGAAAACAAGCTTTGACATAACATCAAATGTGAAGAAGTCACCTATTCATCATTCCAATAGTTAGTTACGAACATCGGTCGATGCTTGGAGTAAGAGATTTCAGTCTCTAGAGGATCTTTGTACTGCTTACACCACTCTGCCATGTTCTTCGAGGCCGTCCACCCGTCCCCAGCATTATCCTGTCGGGATGGCGAAAAGCGGTCTTGCGGCTCTCCCAAGCGCTCAGCAAACAGGTATGCTGTAGAGCTAAGCTCTGGATCCATCTTTCGAATGTGGGAGCTCGAAAGTCCTTGGTTGAGGATGCGCCGAAATTTGGAATGGTCTTTGTTATCCAATGTTCCCAAAGTAGGGTGAACACCAGGGACAAGCGATATGCGCAAGTAAGATTTGGATTTTTGAACATTTTTATCATGAGCGTATATGTCTACCATATAGTTAATCTGTGAGCTTGAGACATTTACCGAGGTTACAGTTGAACAAAATGTATCACCTTTGAATGCAGCTTCTGTGTTGATCAACAGTCGATTCGGCGCATATCGGACGAGATTACCTGCCAAAGCCGCTAGGTCAGTACTCGACCTTTGTATGTGCACTCCAATTGACCTACCGTATTTCCTATGGCACTCCCAAATATCGGTATGGAGATCACCCACATAGGTGTGGTATACAGAATACCAGCTAGTTAGCTTGGCCAAAAAAGGGCCGGGATATTTAGCATATGGGTGGAAGAAAAGCCGATATATCGCAATGGTTATCTGTCGAACAATTTGGTCAGCCAAGAATTTTTGCTTCAGATTACTAAAAAGAAATTCAATATAACCTACAAACGTGACGATGACGGTTGTTGACAAGGCTCCGACCAGAAAAGTAGGAGAGGAAGAATGTACAGAACCCATCCTGTTGAAAGAAAAATGACGACAAACTAGAAGTCGTACCACATTCGACTGTAAACCCTACGTCTCTTTGGTACGTCATTTCGACAGTGTAGTCGGCTTGTGTTTTTATTTATGTACACTCAATGTGTCGCAAGACAAGCGGCTTTGGTTCACGTAAATCACAGATAGCTGGACAGAGGACACGTGATGGATGAGCATATCTTACGTAATATCCTATCAGCTGTTAAACTTTGCTTGGTTCTTTGACTATAATCTCACCATAGTGCCCCACTGATTAGAGACCTGTACGCTTCATCTATGTTCGAATTTATATCTCTATCTCCACCCTGCCTACGACGCAGATTATATGTCCATTGATTTATTTGCCAGTTATTGCAGTGATTTCTTAAAATGGGAGTTGCTTACGATGCCATCCAAAGTTACGATATCCGGAACTTGATTACCTTTGCGGCTATCTTGTCTGTTCGTATTCTATTTCCAATTTTTGTATTAAAAGGTTAACAGTTGGCGTATTTGCGAGGTTAGGCTACGCTATGGTACATCAACCAGTTTGTTCTCCACCCATTAGCGAAGTACCCTGGACCCTTCCTTGGTCGTTGCACAAATCTTTATGCCGCATATAAGGCATGGAGAGGGACGTTGCATATAGATATCTATGAATGTCATTTGAAATACGGTAGGAATACCGACAGTCTTTGGAAAATATTCTCATTGTTGCAGGACCAATTGTACGATATGGACCGTCAAGGCTTCTCTTTGATACCAATACAGCAGTCAAGCGTAAGGAGTTTAAAACACTGGTATGATCTAAACTAATAGCTTGGATAGAAATACATTCCCACGGCGCAAACAATCTTAAGTCAGTTGTGTATCAAGTGTTGGTTCATGGAGCCCCAAATACTTTGACGATTCGTCGGAAAGAGGAACATACCTGGAGAAGACGAATACTCAGCTTGGCGCTCTCCGATGCCAAGGTAACCTCCTACCAGGACATCCTCAGCAAGCATATCGCAACATTATGCAAAAATCTAGAGAGGAGCTCGAGAAGCTGTCAGACAGACGGAGCCACTGAACTGCTAGACATTTCTGCACAAAGTAAGATTTGAATGCAATTTTCACAACTTGACAACTAGTCTAATAATCCCAAACAGGCGATTATTTTTTTTTCGATGTCATGTCTGAGGTAATTTTTGGGATGAAGTACAATGCCCAGAATGAGCCAACGTACCAACACGTGACTAGATCGCTAGCAGATTCAAATGTACGAATTAGCGCTCTGGTACAAGCTGCAGTCTTGAAGTTTGGCAGGCTTGACAAGATTCTTTTTCGATCTTCTATAAAAGGCAGAAATCGATTTCTCGCTTTCATTAGCTCATTACTCAGAGACCGAACCAAGGGCGCTTTGACAGCCAGTGGTAACGTCTTCTCCTTCCTTGAGAAGGCAGAGGATCCAGATACCAGAAAGGCTCTGAATGGATCACAGATTCGTGCCGAGTGCGCTACAATGGTTGTAGCTGGATCTGATACGTCATCCTCAACACTTGCCGCCACTCTATTCTACTTGAGCGTCAATCAGCAGCCATATGAACGTGTCTGCCAAGAAATTCGCGATAAGTTCGCTCATAGCCGCGACATCTGTTTGGGGCCGCAACTCAGTTCTTGCACTTACCTCCGCGCTTGCATTGATGAGGCACTTCGGATGTCGCCGCCAGTAGGCGGCGCTCTATGGAGGGAGATTATGCCTGGAGGTATGGTTATTGATTCCATCCCACTGCCTGCCGGTATCGACGTTGGAACTGGAATCTACAGTCTGCATCACAACCATCGATATCATCTAGATCCATTCAAGTACATGCCAGAGAGATGGCTTGTTGGAGAGGCAGGATCAACTGAGGAATCTGTACAAACATCTAGGAGTGCTTTTGTCCCGTTTTCCATGGGACCTAGAAGCTGCGTTGGGAAAGGGTTCGCCTACCACGAGTTGATGCTGTCTTTAGCTCACATTATTCATCGTTTCGACTTCTATAACCTTAGAAGAGCCCAGAGCAACAACAGCTCCTCTACAGATTCTGAGGGAAGGGATGAGTTTCTGCTACAAGACCATGTCACCGGCGCGAAAAAGGAACTATATCTTAGTTTCAATCCGCGATATTAGATCTATAAACTATGGCTCTTACACTCTTTATGGTTAAATTAATCGAACAGAAAAGAACATCTAACGTGGTTCACAAGCGAGCGGGCCACTTTCCACTGGCGCGTTAAC